TGCCTTCCGCGATGGGCACAATTCTGTACAAGTCTCCAACCTCCTTGTAGCGCTGGAGCCATGCCATTTTCTGTAGCGGCAAATCCGGCCGTTCGCGCAGCGCCTCCAGCGTGGGCGTATCCCCTGCAGGAACGTACACGACGGGCTTTCGGTGCCCCCGCGCGTACCCGGCGGCCCAGAGCCGCATTCACCTCGTACTTCATATCGCTGTTGAGAAACACGCCAGGCGGCACAAGAAACTTCTCTGTCAGCAGACGCGGATCCTCCGAGCTATCCGCCACGAGCCGACGCCGCGAAAAAGAAACAAGTCCAGAGACCCAGAGGCCCACGTCGCGAGAACATGTTTGCCAGCGTGCCTTGACACGTTACTGTGTCCGTTCCTAACTGACATGACCAAATGCGTGGTAATGAACTTCCCTGATCAAGGCACAGAAGAACAGAAACACACAAAAACGAAACTCCCAACACTCATTTAGGGTCGGCGGCAGAGGCGGGAACCGTTAGATCTGGCCGCTCCCGCCCTGCGGTGTGGGCCGTGCGAGACCTCTCTGACAGAGTGTTTGGCACAGTCTTTGGCCCCCTTCTCCAGTGCCTGGTCAAAAACCTCCTGAAAGTCCCTCCGAGGGGGCCCCACTCTGCCGCCGGCCCCCCGCTGGCCCCCCCCCCTTCAAGGTCTCAAACGGCCCGGGGACGACCCAAGGGCGCCCCAAGCCGGTCCTAGAGAGTCCCGAGCAGTCCAAGAGAGCCTCCAGACGGCTCCAGATCGCTCCAAGACGCCAAAGATGGCCTCCAGACGGCCCAAGACGCTTCCAAGACGGCCCAAGAGGCCTCCAAGAGCACCCCCAAGAGAGCCCCAACATGCAAAAATCATTGATTTTTCAAAGGCTTTTGAAGGATTTTCTCGTTCTCGCCATTTCGGCTTACCCACGCTCCAAGACGGCCCAAGAGGCCCCCAAGATCGCCCCAGGACGGCCCAACAAGCCCCCAAGAGGGCTCCAAGACGGCGCAAGAGGGCCCCAAGACGGCCCAAGAGGCACCCAGAACGGCCTAAGAGAGGCCCCAGGACGGCCCCAAGAGGGCGCTCAGAAGGGGAACCCGAATGAACATTTTGAGCTTTCGGTCCCAAGAGGCCCCCAGGGGGCTCTTAGAGGCCCCCAGGAGGCCCCCAAGAGGCTCCAAGAGAGCCCCCACAGGCCCCAAGAGGCCCCCAAGAGGCTCACAAGAAGCCCCCAGGAGGCCCTCAAGAGGCCCTAAACTCCCCCGCGGAGGCCCCGAGAGCCCTCTCGAGAGACCCCAAGAAGCGTCCACGAGGACCCCGACCCAAAACCCAAGCACGGTGGCGGGATGGGTCGCGCCACGTCACGACTTTCGATGCTGCGCGATCTTCGGCAAACTCCCAGGGAGCGGCTGGTGATGCGCCGCCGGCGTCCTCGATTACGCTAGGCCCGACCTCCCAATGCACATATCCCTCGTGAATTACGCCCGCGCTCCAGGGCCACGGGCCGTTGCGAATTGCACCCCGTGCGTGCTCCCAGGGTCACGGTCCTGAGTAAATTCAGCTGCGCCCGCGCTCCCAAGGCCACGGCATCTCGCGTAATTATTACGATAATGCCGCGCTCCCACGGGTCTCACGCGGCCTCCTGGGGCGTCCAAGTCCCTTCTGGGGCCTGCTGGGACCGCCGCGCCCCGTTGTGCGTGGAAGATGCTGCGCGGGGGGCGCGCCATCCATCAACTGGCACACCCGAGCTCAACGCGTCAGTTGCTACATCGGTATGTCCTTAACTCGGCTACACGCAAGAGTGACCCTGGGTAAGAAGGACCTTTGGTGCGCGGCTTTCTGGGGGGCCGCGGGGGGACCAAACCTGGGCGCGCAAGCCGCTGCTACCGCTTCGTTTTCAGCCATCTGGGGGCCCACCTGTGCCCGCACCAAAGGTCACCCCGGCGAAAGGTCACCCTCACGTCTAATCGATTAACGATGCTCGCGTCAAAAGGGTTCGAAAGTACGGTCTCCCCCGGGAATGCTTGCACTGGGGTTCTCCGGCTTCAGAGGATCGGGTGGCTCTGCTGCGGTGTTTCGCCTTCAAGGCGGCCCTGGGCGCCCCGGGGGCGCCCCTGTGCGCCGGATGGGCGCGACGAAGTTTCGCCTGGCGGGTGGGCGCCTCGTGGGCGCCCCGTGTGCTGGCCGGGTGCGTCGAAGCTCCGCCCGGTGGGTGGCCGTGGGCGCCCCGTGGGCGCCAGGTGCGAAAAAAACGGGACGTGTCAACTTTTCGCCGTGCGGGCGGCCGCTGGCGCCTCGTGGGCGCCTCGCTCTGCTTGCACTACATCTCTAACTTCACATATTCAGGGCAGTTTTTAATCCATAGGATTTTAAACATTTTTCTTTTAAGTGAGCAATGTATGAATACATTTGTGCATGAACTCCTCTTTGTTTTTAACACCGAATCCCTGCACTTTTAATGCGTGATCCGCAGGCGGAGCATGTATCAAAAACGGCACTGTATATGTCAAAACATCGTTCTCCGTTCAACATAAAAATGTGCTCGGCGATCCCACCCATTCGAGCCACGGTGAACCGTTCACCTCTCCAAGCCACAATTTTCGCACGGCCTTGCCCCATGGTTCGCTTTCGAATTGAAATCACATCAGCTCTGCCAGCCCATTGTCGAATCCCCCCCACTCCTGCCGAATGATAGAGTGCGCGCGCACTTGCTTATCAGACTAAATCCTGTTCCAATATTCCTTTGCAACCAACGCATCAACATCAACATACCCGCGAACATGTCGAGCTTATTTCGAACACATTCGTTCAGCAGGCATGTCGACAACATCTTGAACACCCACTGGCTTAACTTACCACGTCATGCAGATGTTCTGCCCGCGTTCACTGGCTGACGCCATATTGACACCGTGTGGCTTCAGTCGTGTCGTCCAACCCGCGCGCTCTCATCTCACGCGGTGCACCTGCGTTGATTTAGCATGCGCCCAGTGCGCGACTCCATATCACGTAGTACCATGCGGGCCAGGCGCGCGCCGACACGCGCGCGTCGAAACCTGTTCTCAAACCGTTGATGCTCGAAGTCAAGTCGTTGTTTCAGCAAGCGTCTGCCAGATGTATCGAAGTTCTGCAAAACGCACACCTCCTCATCACCGCCATACGCTCCATCATATCGCCGCCGTTATCGCCACCGAGAATTGCCACCATTGCCGCCACCATCATTACAACCACTTCCATCACCGACACATAGGCAACACAATCATCACCATCAGCATCACCACCACCACCATCATCATCAGCATCGTTAGCATCGTCATTACCATCAAAGCTATCATCATCACCATCAACACCTTATCAAAAATATGCTCACCATCATAACCGTCATCATCGCCACCATCATCGGCGCCGTCGTTCGCATTGCCGCCATCATCGCCATCTCGCCACCACCATCGCCGTTATCGTCATCGTTGTCGCCCTTGTTGGCATCATCATGGTGTCGCGCCTGCCCGAGTCACCGACCCGCGCTGTACTGCCTTCGCGCCAACGCGGCCTTTGAGACGCGCTGCTGGGGAGTTCCCATCGGTCAGAGCCACCGCGGCCGCATCAAATGTGCCAAACCAGATTGTCGCTCTGTGCGCGAGCGTGCACGCACCAGCGCGGGCACAGAGATGCGCTAGCAAATGCCAATCAGACGCCGCAAGCGTGACCGCCAAACAATTCGCCAAACAAGTTGCGAGCCGGAGGGTGGGATGTTTGCGCAAGCAGTGGAATTGGCGACTTGCAGAAGGCCGAAGTTAGCTTACACCCTACAACTTTGCCGCTACATAGATTGTACCACACATTGCTTGCACTGCGTAGCTCACACCACATCGGTTGCACCACACACGGCTTGCACCGCTTGGCTTCCACATCCATAGTGCAAGAGCTCACTGTGCGGGGTCCACGCTGGCAACCATAGAAACAAGTGGACGAGTGTGACGGGGCTTCCCCCGGTGAGCGGCCGTGGGCACCTCGTGGGCACCCCGTGGGCGCCGAAGGCCCCGTGCAGTGGCCGGGCGTGGCGGAGTTTTCACCTGGTGGGCGCCCGTGGGCGTTCCATGTGCAGGCTGGGTGTGTCCAGGCTTTGCCTGGTGAGTGGCCGTGGGCGTTTTGGTGGACGCGTCACGCTGCTTGCGCTACATGGCTTGCTTGACAGTGCCTCACCACTTTGCTCACACCTCGAAGTTTACATCGCGCAGCTTGCACCACATTGCTCACCCACATATTACGCCACGTAGCTTGCAACATGCATGGGTTGCGCCACGTTGCCTACACCTCATAGCGTGCGCAACACATCTACATTGCACCTCATTGTGTGCAACGCGCATGGCTTACACCACATAACGTGCACCACGCAGCTGACACACCCAGAGAGAACTCACTGTATGCGGGTCCGCGATGCCAAACTTCTTCCCTCAAGAACCGGGGGTCTGCGGATCAGGTTATTTCCAGGAGGATCCGGGGTGGGGCGCGCGCTTTGCCCGAGCGGGCACGCACAGAGCGCACCTGACCTCCGCACTATTTTTCGTGGAGGATAACTTGGCCGGCCCTTCCCGAGCATGGCGCCAGGGACATTCTACAGGGGACGTTTTTCAAACTGCAAACATCCTGGGCCCACACCTTTTCCGGGCCCCCCCCCTGACCCATCCTGGGGTATGCTCTGGCCAGAACTTTGCGGCGGATCCAGCTGTGGCGACGAGAAACCTCCCAAAAACCAGACAGGGAGGAAAACCGCCCTCCTTTCGAGGGACAACGTAGGGGGGGGACTAGCTCAGCGAGGGAAGCATCGAGTTTGAATCGGCGACGCATCGCCGATAGATCGGCGATAGGCCCCCAGTAGCGTATCAACACGGTACTGGGCGGGGTGTGATATCGAGCCCTAGTCGGCGGTCAGTGGACGATTGGGGGTCGGTTCGTCCCCCCCTGACTTCTACTTCTAACATTGCTGCTGAACGGAGCTCGACTCCTGCGCGCTCAGCACAGGCTCCGGCTCGGCCACCTTGGCCTTCGCCTTGGGCTTCGGCTTGGCCTTGGCGACGGCCGGCGAGGCGGCGGACGCAGGTGGCGGTGCGTCGTCCTCGTCCTCCGAGTCCTCGGGAGGAGACGGATCCTTTCGAGGAGGCCAGGGGGAAGGAGGAGGAGGAGGAGGAGGAGGAGGAGAAAGCAGAGCGTAACCGATGGAGGGAAGGAGGAAGAAGCGGAGGAGGAGGGGGAGGAGGAGGAGGAGGAGGAGGAGGAAGGGGAGGAGGACGATGAGGAGGACAGGGGAGAGGGCGGGAGAGTGAGGATAGGGGGAGGCGGAGGAGGAGGAGGAAGAGGAGGACGAGGAGGAGGACGGAAGGAGAGGGCGGGAGAGTGAGGACAGGGGGAGGAGGGTGGCAGCCCAGGCGCGCTCGCGCCATATCTGACGCCCTATCCCTCCCACCCATCCCGCCCCATTGCGCATCTATATGTGTACATATATATATCTATATGTAATTTGTATATGTATATGTATATATATATATATATATATATATGTATCCGCGATGCTCGTACACACATATATATAGTTATGTATGTATATATGCGTATGCAGACACACAAATTTCTGCCGACGGGTGTCATATCGGACCTCGAGCCCCCCAAAGGGCCCCAATGAGTCGTACCCGCTGCAGGCTTTGCTGACGACTGCACGGCGCTGATGCGCGAGGACAACTTTCGAAAGGCACGCAGCAACTTCCACGCGTGTAGCTGCTAGAAGCCGTTGAGACGAAGGTATGCGACGTGCATACGAGAACCAGCTTTGAACACGATTCGCTCTCATCAACTTAGTGGGTAAACTGGTGCCAGTTAATCTATGTGCAGTGAGGACATCTCAAGCGAAAGGTCTGGCACGCCCTACGGATAGAGAGCGCGGGATTGTGGAGTCGCAGGGGTTCAAAAGCGCGCGCGCGAGGCTTTCGCGCTGAGTTCGCGACTGTTTCTGTGCAAACTCTGCTCTGTGTCGTCGTCGTCCTCCTCCTCCTCGTCCTCCTCCGCCTCCGCCTCCTCCTCCTCCTCCTCCTCCGCCTCCTCCTCCTCCTCCTCCCTCTCCTCCTCCTCCTCCCTCTCTGTTTGTTTTTTCTCCGGGTCCCCCCCAAAACAAAAATCCCCAAAAAGAAAACAAAACAACGGAATTGAGATTGGCGGATTTTTTTTTTTTGGGGGGGGGGGGGGGGTCGGCGGCGAAAAAAAAGGAATGCGACGTGGCCTCATCTGCCCTCCACCCTAGAAGGATTCCTATTGAACGCCCCCACAATAAGGATTCATAGTGAAATCCTCGACAGAAGAATTCGTAGCAAAACCCTCCATTGAATGATTCCTACTGAAATCCTCCACATGTGGATTTCTACTGAAACCCTCCACTGAATGATTCCTACTGAAATCCTCGAATGGCAATGGCAACGGCAATGATAATGGTAATGATAATGGTAATGACACTGGTAATGGTAACGGTACTGGTAGTGGTACTGGTAACGGTAATGGTAATGGTAACGGGGTAGCGACTGGCAATGGCAATGACAATGGCAATGGCAACGGTCATGGTAATGGTAATGGCAATGGCAATGGCAATGGGAATGGCAATGACAATGGCAATGGCAATGACAATAGTAATGGCCATGGCAATGGTAATGGTAATGGTCATGGTAAAACTAATGGTAATGGTAATGGGAATGGAAATGGGAATGGGAACGGGAACCGGAATGGAAATGGTAGTGGTAGTGGTAATGGTAATGGCAATGGCAATTGTAATGGTAATGGTAATGGTCATGGTAATGGTACTGGTAACGATAACGGTAATGGCAATGGTGATGGGAATGGGATTGGGAATTGTAATGATAATGGCAGCGGTAATGGTAATGGTAATGGTAATGGTAATGGTAATGGCAATGGCAATGTTAATGGTAATGGTAGTGGCTAAGGGCAATTCCATTGGCAGTGGTAATGGTAAGGACAGAGGTAACGGTAATGGTACGGTAATGGTGACGGGGTAGCGACTGGCAATGACAATGACAATGACAATGGCAACGGTAATGGAAATGACAATGGCAATGGCAATGGGATTGGCAATGGCAATGGCAATGGCAATGATAATGGCCATGGCAATGGTAATGGTAATTGTAGTGGTAATGGTAATGGTAATGGTCATTCGAATGGGAATGGGAATGGTAATGTGAATGGGAATGGGAACAACAACGGGAATGGAAATGGTAATGGTAGTGGTAACGGAAACGGGAATCGCAATTGCCATTGCCATTGCCGTTACCATAAAGGTAAAGGGTCAGGTAAAAGGTAAAGGGTAAGGGTAAAGGTAATGGTAATAGTAATGGTAATGGCAATGGCAGTGGTAATGGTAATGGAAATGGTAATGGTTTTGGGAATGGGAATGGTTCTGGCCATGGTAATGGTAGTGGCTAATGGCAATGGCAACGGTAATGGTAATGACAATGGTAATGGCCATGGCAATGGTAATGGTGACGGTAACGGTAATGGTAATGGTAATGGCAATGGTAACGGGGTAGCGACTGGCAATGGCAACGACAATGGCAATGGCAACGGTAATGGCAATGGCACTGGCAATGGCAATGGGAATGGCAATGGCCATGGCAATGGCCATGGCAATGGTAACGGTAATAGTAACGGGGTAGCGACTGGCAATGGCAATACAATGGTAATGGCAACAGTAATGGTAATGGCAATGGCAATGGCAATTGTAATGGCCATGGTAATGGTGATGGTAATGGTAAAGGTAGATATGAAGGTAATGGTAATGGTAATGGTAATGTGAATGGGAATGGGGATGGGGATGGGAATAGAAATGGTAGTGGTAGTGGTAACGGAAATGGGAATTGTAAGGGTAAGGGTAAAGGTAAAGGTAAATGTAATGGTAATGGTAATGGCAATGGCAATGGCAATGGCAATGGTAATGGTAGTGGTAATGGTATTGGGAATGGGAATGGGAATGGGAATGGACTGGCAATGGCAATTGTACTGGTACTGGCAATGGCAATGGTAATGGGAATGGTAATGGTAAAGGTAATGGTAATGGTGGTGGTAGTGGTAGTTGTAGTGGTAGTGGCAATGGTAATGGTAATGGTAAGGGTAATGATGAGGAGCAACGTGAAAGATCGTAAAAACTCGTCTGGAACCCACAGCGACTCCACAATCCCCCGGCCTCTACGGAGAAGTCTGACGGTGCGACCAGCGTGAGTGGAGGAGAGGGAGGAGGCAGAAGGAGCAGGAGAGAGAGGAGAGAGGGGGAGAGCGAACGAAGGAGGGTACTATATGCGAGTGCAGGAGGAGGCCACTGAGGAAAAGGATGATAAATATGATTGCGCAAAGGAAGAGGGTCAAGAGGAGATGGAGAGGGAAAGGGAACCTGAGAGAAGTAAGGAGGAGTAGGTGGAGGAGGGTAGAGGAGAAGATAAGATGAGGACGCCGGATGGAGGAGTTAGAGGATGTAGAGTAGGACAATTAAGAGGGAGACGATTACGAGAAGCAGAGGCATACACTTCCTCCTTTGCCTTCGTTTTCTCCTTCGCCGCCAACTTCTCCTCCGAGGAACAGAAATATGCCGAGACCGCTGCTCCCCAGACCTCTCCTTTGGCGCGTTCCGACCGAGATCCTGCAGCGGATCCAGCCTTTGCGACGAGGCTCCCCCCACAGGAGACACAACCAAGGGAAAAACGAAGCAGGGCCTCGGTATTGGTCCTCCTCTGATCCTCGATGTCGTCGTCTTCCCACGAGTCGTCTTCCCAGTCGTCCCCCATGGCTCGGGGCGCCCCCGAGCGCGCGCGCAGGCGGGGTGTGCCTCGTGGCAGCGACGCTGGCGAAGATCGCTTGGGCCAAAATGGTTTGCAAGATTGCAATCGCTCGGACGTCTGCTTGCTGGCTGCGCTGCTGTAACCCTGCCTGGGCATCCGCAAATACGGCTGGTCTTGCCGTGGCGACGCAACAGTTAGTTTCTGACACCGCGCGGATCGTTCAACCACGAACGATCCTAGACCCCGACGTCGCGATTTTTTCGCAACGTCGACCCCCAGAGTTCTGGACCCCTTCCCGGGGACCAGTTTTTCATCCTGAGTCGTTTTCCACGGTCCCGAGGCCCAGCCAGGGCCTCTGGACGCTGAAAACAACAAAACACCTCTCGTCGTGATTTTTTCACATCGCGAGGGGGTCTGGGATCGAAGCTCCCCGGTATCGCTGGTTTCTCGATGCCGGGTAGGACGAGTCTTGGCCAACGGGAGCCTTCAACACTGATCACCCCGCTGGGGCCGTCTCCGCGTCGACGCAGCGCTAGTCAAGATGGCCCAGTGGCCCATCCACAAGACCTGGTGGTGGCCCAAGACGACCACCAGGGGCGCCCACGAAGGGTGCGTCCGAGAGGGGGGCTCGCAAATATCATGGGCAGAGGTATGTGCGCGGACGAGGGAGGGGCCAGGGGATCTATTGGAAGAGGGAGCGGGGGCCATATAATCCAGGGAGATATCATGGCACCGGCCATGACTAGAGGCCTCCTAGATGGGGTCCGAGTCGATGGGTTCGGAGGATCTTTTGGAGTCCCCAACCGGTGCGGTGACAGACCGTGCGGTGACCTCGAAATCCCCCAAGACCTCACCGCACGGTCCGTCACCATACGGTCTTGGGACCCCGGAGGCCCCTGTCGCCCGAGACATCCTCGGAGAACGACTGGCATCTCAAAACCGTGCGGTGAGCCCGAATCCCCACCGACTCACCGCACGGTGTGGTCACCACCCCGTTTGGGGGCCCCCGAGATCTCGCCGCATCGCCGATACACCCGAGATGCATCGACGACGTCGGCATGGAGAACATCGGGCTCCACATCGAGCCGCATTGCCGATGCATCGCCGATGCATCGGCGATGCGGCGCGATCCCCCGACCCCATCTACTCCGACCCCATCTGGGAGGCTCAGAATGACATCCGCCTCCACGCGGTCATCACCCCCCCCTTCTTGGCCGCGCCCCCCGGCGGGGGTGCGGCGCCAAGGCGCGCCGCCATGGGTCGCCGAGCCGCGCGCCTCGCAGGTGGCGCGCCCCCGCGGCCGTGGCTGCTGTGCTGTTCCCGGGCCCAGGATCGAAAGGGCCGTCCAGGATCTTCAAACTTTCCGTCGGCGGCGGCGGCGGAGGAGGAGGAGGAGGAGGAGGAGGAGGAGGAGGAGGAGGAGGAGCTGGCTGCACCAGGGAAAAGTCTGGACGAGGGCGCCGAACAGCGAATCGGCCAGCGTGCCAGAGGGGAACACAGGGAGGCAGGGCGGCCGTGGAGGGGCGGGGGGCAACATCCTCAAGCATGTGAAGCGGACCTGTGGCCGGCATCAGCCGCTCGAAGAAGAACCCGCTCCTGCAACCGCGGCAGCTGCAAAAGTGCCACGGATGCTTGCGAGAAGAACGATCGCAGCAGCCGTAATCATGACCGCAGTGAGGGTGGCGCCATGACAGCCGCATGGTGTGCAGTAGTTCTGTGAGTCGTCGTGCCGAACATGTGAAAGAGCAGTTGCAGTGAAAGGTATGAAGTGTCAGCAAGTATCAGCATCAGCTGTGGCGGTCATTTGGATCGTCACTGTGTTTACTGTCGACATAAAAATGGTGGCATGATTGCCACGTGTGTGACCAGTGGTCCCATCAAGAGTATCGTGCGCCGTGCTAGATGGAGATGTATAGCAAAACGAAGTCGTGGCCCTGCATGATGTTAGTGTCATGGCGAGGAATGGTCGGCCGGTCGCAGCATTGGTGCAGAGGTCGTAGGAATCGTGCCGATGGAGAATATAATGGCCTTTGCACGTGTGATGATTGATTCAGCTGTGGCAGCATCACATGAGTAGCGATGCTGCTGGACGTGGCGCTGATCTCCTGCGGGTGCTCGATGGAGGCGACGCGGAGGCAACTGCTGTAGGCATCGTTGCAATCGTACAGCCACCGCGTTGCCACTGAGAGCGCCGAGTAAGGCACGCGATGGGTTTCTCTGCCCACGGAGGGCCTCGGCCGCGAAGAGGCTCCCCGACCCGGATCGGGGGAGCGGCGCGAACACCCGCCCGCTGCAGCGGGCGCGGCCTTTCGTCACACCTGCGGCGCGGGGCCGCGCGCCCGTGGCGCAGTACCGTCGAGGCACGGCCGCGAGAGAGCACCCGTCAAGGGCGCGGGCCCCCCCGCCGAGGGCACACGGCCCCACGGAGATGTTCGCACCGAAGAGCATTCCAAGGTGGATGGCCGAATAATGATAAACATACGTAAAGGGTACCCATCCAAACCTACAAGCCTCGTCAAACAGATCCACGAATGGAAGTTGAAATCCTGGAGCACGATGCTTTCGGGCACTTGTCAGAAAGCACGCTCTTCAATGCTGAGGGGGCGGGGTCGGTTTTTGGACAACACCGCGTCCGAGTCAACAGGCATCCGTCAGCATTGGAGTAGCGCTGAACCCCGCAATCACCGAATTCAGAAATCTTCTGTTTATTTTGGACGAAGCCTGTTCGCTTATAGGCCTATATGTTGGGGTCCATTGGTTTGGGTCCACCCGTGCAGGCGTCGAGCTCCCGCACTGCGGCCGAGTGCGTGAGGGAACTCGTCGCAATGAAAAGCCCGCTCGACAACGGTCTGCTGCCTCCAGAATGAGTTCGCGGACCTCAAGCGGAGGCTGATCGGGGGCCACTCGCCAAAACCTTGCGCCGGCCTGAACTGCACTGAGCTCGGGAGAGGAGACAGAAAACATCGTCGGGATCGTCGTCCACGCTGTTGCCTCGAATGTCACTGAGCACGGTTGAAGTAGCGGACGAGCTCCACGCTGCAATTGCGGTCGCGACCAACGAAGTTTTGCCAGACGCGTCGCGCGTGGGTGGGCGGGATGTTTGCGCGAGCGCGGGAGGTGCTCAGCCGCGACGGCCCGACGCGCCACCCGCGCGCGGTTGCGTTGGCGACCGCGTGAGTGTTGCCTACCAAGTCGCGCATGGGTGGGCGGGATGTTTGCACGAGCGTGGGAGGTGCTCGGCCACGGCAGCCTGGCGCGCCGCCCGCGCGCGGTTGCGTTGGCGTCGTGCGCAGTGCTGGTGGTCCCTGGCAACAAATGATCCATTTGATTTTTGGGGGGATCTATCTGGGCCGGCCGGGGGGGGGGTCTATCCGGGCCGGCCGGGGGGAAGGTGCTCTGGGAATTCTGCCGGGTGGCATCGAGGGCCTCAGAACTGGCCACGAGGGCCCCGAGAGACCCCCAAGACGGCCCAAGAGGGTCCCGCCAAAACATCGCCCCAAGACGCCCAAGATGGCGTCCAGACGGCCCAAGATGCCTCGACGACGCCCCAAGAGGCTTCGAAGAGGCCCCCCGAGAAGGCCCCACGAGGCCCAACTCGCTGATTTCTGTAGATGTGTTTAAAGGTTTCTGGCTTTCTCGCCATTTCGGGTTTTCGACGCTCGAAGGGGGCCCCCCTTCGCTCCACCCCTCGGGAGGTACCCCGCCCCTCCTCTGCTGTCGCGCCCTCCGAAGCTCACCGCCCCTTCTACGAGGGAGGGGGGGGGGATTGGCTGCCCCGCCCTGCCTTTGGCACCCCCCTGCTGCTAGCTTCTCCCCTTTTTGGGCTCAACGGGGAGAGCTTGGACGCCCCCCCCCCCCCTTTTGGCCAACGGGAAATCGCGCCGAAAACCAAAGGTGCGCCGAAAACCAAAGGGCCACCGACAACCGGAAAGGGCGCCGCCAACCAAAGAGGCGCCGACAACCAAAAAGGGCGCCGAAAACGCAATGGCGTCGAAAACCAAGCACCGAAAACCAAAAAGGGCGCCGAAAACCAAAGAGGCGCCGAAAACCAAAGAATCGCGGAACACCAACAAGGCGCCGAACACTCACGGGGGCGCCGCGTACCAGGAGGGGGGCGGAGAACCGAGAGGGCGCCGAAAACCAAAAAGGGCACCGACAATCAAAGGAGCGCCGAACGCCAACGGTGCGCCGAAAAACAAAAAAACACGAAACCCATAAGGGCGCCGAAAACCACTGGGGCGCCGAAAACTAAAGGGCCGCCGAAAACCAAAGAGGCGCCGAAAACCCCAAAGGGCACCCAAGAACAAAAGGGGGCCGAAAGCCAAGGATGCGCGTCGCCGAACACAACAAGGGCGTCGAAAGTCATCGGGTCGCCGAAAACCAGAAGAACACCGGAAGCCAAAGAAGCGCAGGTAACCGAAAGGGCGCCAAAAACAAAAGGGGCGCCGAAAACAGAAGGAATGCCGAGAGCCGAAATGTCAGGAAACAAACAAAGGAGCGCCGGACACCAGAGAAGCACGAAACCCTCAGGGGCGATGGGAACCAAAAGGGCACCGGAACCAGCGGAGCGCCGAAAACCCCAAGACGCCGAACGCAAAGAGTCGCCGAAGGCAGGACGGGCCCCGATAACAAAACCGGCGCCAAAAACCGAAGGCGCCGACCAAAAAAAAGCGGGCGCCAAAAAACACCAACGAGTGCCAGCAAAGAGTGGGAAAGAAGAAGGCGGCGAACAGCGCCGAAAAGCAGGGGCGCGCCGAAAAACCAGCGGGCGCGGAGAATCAAAAAGGGCG